AACATCAGTCGAAAACAACAAAAACAGTCCTTCTCAGGACTATACCAACCTGGACAATCTTCATTTACAAACATGTTACAAACATGTAATTATGTCTTCCAGCGATTCTGTGCCGATTCCAGTCATTGCACTACGGACGCTTCACATCACGCAACTATTTCATTGTGTTGATAATTGATCGCATAAAGTTTGACATTATACATTCATTCTCAAAACGACCTTATTTACAATGCACATATAACCTATGAAGATCCGAATATGACTAAAATACAGCAAGTATTATTGCTAAAAACAGACCGTTCAGAATCAAAATGTGCTGTCTTCTTCGAAATGTCCGTTCAAAATCAAAATGTGCTGTCTTCTTCGAAAATCGACAAATGCACAAAGCAGTATTCCTCTTCTCCTTGTTTTCATTGATATATTCGACAAACCCCGAGGATAGGGACAGACACTTTTTCGGTATTATAGTTGTTAGCCACGCATGCGCAGCTGCTACCCACAAAAAATGAGCCTGCGATAATATATTGTGTACTTACGCTGATGGATGATACTGAACACAAGTATATTGCAGCGTGTTAACTACTTCAAAATCAGGAATATACATACATGTCAGTTAAGCCCGCCGCACACTAGCGTACTTGCCGCGCGTACTTGTAATTCGTGACAAGTTGGATCGACAAAAATTCCTAGTGTGCGCGGAAGTTTCGAACAACATTTGTCATTCGTGACAGATATTCCAAATATCAAACATGTTTGATATTTTTTGTCACGAGTAACAAAAATCTCAAGTGTGCGGCCGACGAAAAGCAAGTCCTCCTACAATGATGACACTACGCATGTGCACATTAAATTAATGTAAACACAATGTGGCGGATAGCATTGACACGTTAAATCAGAACGAATGTAGTGAAATTGTTACGGAAGCTATCTTAGAAGACCAGTTGGTTGATATCTGGCCTGATTATCGGTGTTTATACGATGTGCGATCGTCCTACTTCAAGAACCGTGATGCACGCGAGAAAGCTTATCAAAATATTGCAGAAAAGTTAGGACAAACTGGTAAGTTATGAATCTTTGCCATGTGCTGTATTCCCCCTTATATTATATCATCTGTATATTGCAGTTGAATGGGTAAAAGCTAAGCTGAAGTCCCTCAGGAACAGTTATACAAGGGCTAAAAAGATTGCTCCAAGTGGAAGTGCACGGAAAAATCCGACAAAGAGAGGAACCTAGTTGTTGGAAAAGCTGCAGTTTCTGGCACCTTACATTGCAACAAGAGTCCCTATATCCAATATGGATTCTGTAAGTAGCATCTGTGCAAACATTAAATTAGACACATCAAATTGTTTGGGACAATTCTGTAAAAAGGAAAGTAGAAAAATTTATGGATCATCAACATGTAAATCAGATACATGAATTTATGTATTAGTGCATATTGTTCCTATTTATGTCCATTTAGATGTTGATGAGAAACAGGGAGAGGTGAAAAGTTTTATTTTAATATCATGAAATATTTCAGACAAGACTATTGCTCCTTTTCAATTTTCATGAGGCAAGATAGCAGTTAATTGTTTTAAAATATAATTTAGTCTTAGTTATCTTCTAAATTGAAATGAATTGTTTAGCAGTTCAGTTAATCAGTAAGGTAATTTAACAATAACCAATATTAACCTGGGATGCATTAAAAAGTCTGCATCTAAACTGTTCATTTGATCATAAGATCCTGCCATGGGACTGAGCCATTGCCATTAAAGAATGTGGTCAGATACTCACGTTGTGTTTTAGCATTTCTTGATGGGTTCCTATCTGAATTAAATTTGTTTAAACTAGCTAAGCATGGATCACCTCTCCATGGCCCATTTGAAATGCTATGGTCTCTGTTTTCAACATCTGCAGCTGCTGTGTATGTTGATTTTTGTTTTTCCACTAAGTAGTTGTGCAAACAGCAGGCTGCTAAAATCAACTGTGTAACCTTCTTTGGACTTAATCGTAATGTTGTAAGAAACACACACCACCTATGAGCAAAAATTCCAAAAGCATTTTCCACCACTCGCCTTGCTCTCGAAAGACGGTAGTTAAAAACTTGTTTCTCTCTAAATGTCTATGAGGATAGGGCTTCATTAATGCTTTGCTCATGGAAAAAGCATCATCTGCAACAATATGATAATGTACTTTACATACTGAATTTGGTTGAAGAGGAGCAGGTAGTGGCAGATCTAGAGTGTTCTGATCCAATGCTTTTTTCAGAGTTGATTCGTTGTACACACCACTATCTCCAGCCCGCCCTGAGGCACCAACACTCACGTATAAAAACTTATAGTTAGCATCAACAAGAGCCACTAGCAATACACTAAAGAAATGTTTGTAGTTAAAAAATTCTGAACCACTTGAAACAGGCTGTTGTATGGCAATATGCTTCCCATCAAGCACCCCAATACAAAATGGATAGTTCCACTTCCTTTCAAAATCTTTCGATATTTCTAACAATTCATTAGCAGAAGTTGGAGTCTAAAAATAACATTTAAATTATATTTTTCATAAAACATTTTAGGAGCACTGTGACTCTCCATCAGATACTAGCATAATTGATCAACCTGATGAAGAAAGTGTTGCTGATGATAACATGTCTTATCAAGCTAATATAGAAACACCAAGTCCAACTCCTTTGGAGGGAGATGAGATTGACATTCCCTTAACAAGATCAACTAAAGAGCCATTTCAGTTAAAAAATAGTAGAAAGAAGCAAGCAGAAGAAGAATACCATCTCATCAAAGGACTGGCTAAGTCAATGTCAGAAAAACAAAATAAGAAACTAAAAACTGACAATAAACGACAGAACCAAACGGATACTTTTGGCCGATATGTATCCTACACATTAGCAGAACTGGAACCCAAAGTACGTTTTGTGGCTCAACATCACATCAATAACATTTTGTTCCAAGCACAAAGTGGAGAGCTTTTGACTAGGCAGACTTTTGGAATGGTAACACCTACTTCTTCACAAGATCAAACTTTTTGGCCATTAAACCACCCAACAAATAGATCCAAAGTTGATGATATAGTTTCAAGATTTCAATCTCAACTGAATAATCAACATTACAGTCTCCCATTCCAAAGACAGCACACTGAATTCCATCCAACTCTACAAGTTGCAGACAACACTAGGCAGTTTCAGTTTTCTTCTCCTTCTATTCAGTCTCCATCCAATGAACATGAACATTGAACAACACAACACTTGACAACCATTTGTAAACGTATTTGTATCATGAAATTTTGTATTATCTAAACATAACTTGTCTAAAGTTTATTTCAAAGTGACATGTTCAATATATTGCCTATTAAAACTTTTATTACCTTCAAATATTGTTGTTTTGGAGACATATACAGAGCTTGGCATGTCTCTTCCACAATTTCAGAAATTGTTCGTTCACCGATACGAAACTGGAATGACAAACTCCTGAATGTTTCTCCTAAGTTAAAATAACATAAATAATAAGTTGCTCATGTACAGGAATGAATTGAACAAAAAGATAATATATTTCCTCAGTTCAAACCTGTGGCGAGGAAACGAAGTTACAGATAGACGCCGCAAGGTTTCACTGCTGGTCTCAAGTGTGTATCCATCTTAGTAATGTAAGGCAGAACCAATTGTAAGATATTATCAAAGCAATCCCGATCAAGTCGATGGAATTGTCGAAATTTCTCTGGATCCTCTGCATTTAATTCTCGAACGAGATTGTTAAATACTCCTTGCGATTGTCTTCTTTGGATCCATCGCTTTGTCCACAACTTACGATGTACAGCTCTCAAACGTCTCCGTCGCTTTCTCAACAACAAAATCAATAGCAAAACTTTTTTGTCTTCTGAGGAACTATCATTATTGCTATCTGTGTTGGTGTCACTGATATTAGTGTCACTGCCATCACTGCTATCCGCCATATTGTGTTTACATTAATTTAATGTGCGCATGCGTAGTGTCATCATTGTAGGAGGACTTGCTTTTCGTCGGCCACACACTTGGGATTTTTGTTACTCGTGACAAAAAATATCCAATATGTTTGATATTTGGAATAGACCCTTTGCACATGACGTCACAGCTGATGTTCAGCTTCTTCTGGGGGTCAAGTAGGAAACTACTGTGAAGGTACCACAGGATTCATCCTAACATTCATCCTGACATTCATCCTCACATTCACCACAGGATTCACCACAACATTCAAAATTAGCATAAAGTGTGAAGTTGACACCACATTCATTTTAATATTATTAAATAACATCAGTTTCAGAAACAAAATAGAAAAAAACCATATTTTTTGCTACAAAAAAGCAAAAGATGCACACGTGTTTGGTGCCGTTGTAAAGACCAAGTTATTTAGACAAGGATTATACTATTTTTATTTTGGTCGAAAGTCTTGGAGCAAATCTACAGCCTTTTAAAGACTACTTCCGCTTTTGTCTCTTTACGTTAAATAATTGCGCGATGTTTACAATGCATAAATGTTGACATCTAAAAAGGCCTAATTTTCAAGAAATAAACACGCTGGAAAATACTTGTGTTTGGTAACATCCGAAAGTACATTTTCTGAGGATTTCAAATATATCTTTACTTTTGTGGCCCAAATTCGTGGAGCGAATCTACAGCCATGCAAAGTCGACTGTGAAGGTACCACAGGATTCAAGATAGTATGGTTTTTATACAGTAAACACGCTACAATTTACTTGTGTTTACTATCGTCTTAAAGATCTTGTTCTGAGGATTACAAATATGGTTTTATTATCTTGGTCCAAATTCGTGAAGCGGTTCTACAGCTTTGGAAAGGTGGAGCATTTTTGTGTTAATTAATAGGCAAGTTGTCATGTTGCATTATTTCACTAACGTCTAAATATGCCGGGTTTTGAACTAGTTAACACGCTGCAATATACTCGTATTTGGTTTCAGATTAAAGATCTTGCTATGAGGATTACAAATATGTCTTTATTATTGTGGCCGAAATTCCAGGAGCGAATCTACAGCTTTGAAAAGGTAGAGCATTTTTGCGTTATTTAATAGGCAAGTTGTCATGTTGCATTATTTCACTAACATCTAAATATGCCGGGTTTTGAACTAGTTAACACGCTGCAATATACTCGTATTTGGTATCAGATTAAAGATCTTGCTATGAGGATTACAAATATGTCATTATTGTGGCCGAAATTCCAGGAGCGAATCTACAGCATGAGAAATGTGGAGACTTTTTGCGTTAATTAATATTCGCGGTACTTAACTGACATGTTTATATATATCTAATTTTGATGAAGTTAACACGCTACAATTTACTTGTGTTTAGTATCGTCTTAAAGATCTTGTTCTGAGGATTACAAATATGTCTTTATTATTGTGGCCGAAATTCCAGGAGCGAATCTACAGCTTGAGAAATGTGGAGACTTTTTGCGTTAATTAATAGGCAAGTTGTCATGTTGCATTATTTCACTAACGTCTAAATATGCCGGGTTTTGGACTAGTTATCACGCTGCAATATACTCGTATTTGATATCAGATTAAAGATCTTGCTATGAGGATTACAAATATGTCTTTATTATTGTGGCCGAAATTCCAGGAGCGAATCTACAGCTTGAGAAATGTGGAGACTTTTTGCATTAATTAATATTCGCAGTACTTAACTGACATGTTTATATATATCTAATTTTGATGAAGTTGACACGCTACAATTTACTTGTGTTTAGTATCGTCTTAAAGATCTTGTTCTGAGGATTACAAATATGTCTTTATTATTGTGGCCGAAAGTCCAGGAGCGAATCTACAGCTTGAGAAATGTGGAGACTTTTTGCGTTAATTAATAGGCAAGTTGTCATGTTGCATTATTTCACTAAGGTCTAAATATGCCGGGTTTTGGACTAGTTAACACGCTGCAATATACTCGTATTTGGTATCAGATTAAAGATCTTGCTATGAGGATTACAAATATGTCTTTATTATTGTGGCGAAATTCCAGGAGCGAATCTACAGCTTGAGAAATGTGGAGACTTTTGCGTTAATTAATATTCGCGGTACTTAACTGACATGTTTATATATATCTAATTTTGATGAAGTTAACACGCTACAATTTACTTGTGTTTAGTATCGTCTTAAAGATCTTGTTCTGAGGATTACAAATATGTCTTTATTATTGTGGCCGAAATTCCAGGAGCGAATCTACAGCTTGAGAAATGTGGAGACTTTTTGCGTTAATTAATAGGCAAGTTGTCATGTTGCATTATTTCACTAACGTCTAAATATGCCGGGTTTTGAACTAGTTAACACGCTGCAATATACTCGTATTTGGTATCAGAATAAAGATCTTGCTATGAGGATTACAAATATGTTTTTATTATTGTGGCCGAAATTCCAGGAGCGAATCTACAGCTTGAGAAATGTGGAGACTTTTTGCGTTAATAAATATTCGCGGTACTTAACTGACATGTTTATATATATCTAATTTTGATGAAGTTAACACGCTACAATTTACTTGTGTTTAGTATCGTCTTAAAGATCTTGTTCTCAAGATTACAAATATGTCTTTATTATTGTGGCCGAAATTCCAGTAGCGAATCTACAGCTTGAGAAATGTGGAGACTTTTTGCGTTAATTAATAGGCAAGTTGTCATGTTGCATTATTTCACTAACGTCTAAATATGCCGGGTTTTGAACTAGTTAACACGCTGCAATATACTTGTATTTGGTATCAGATTAAAGATCTTGCTATGAGGATTACAAATATGTCTTTATTATTGTGGCCGAAATTCCAGGAGCGAATCTACAGCTTGAGAAATGTGGAGACTTTTTGCGTTAATTAATATTCGCGGTACTTAACTGACATGTTTATAAATATCTAATTTTGATGAAGTTAATACGCTACAATTTACTTGTGTTTCATATCATCTGAAAGAGCGTGTTCCAAAGATTTTAAATATGTCTTTATTATTGTGGCCGAAATTCCAGGAGCGAATCTTCAGCTTTGGAAAGGTAGAGCATTTTTGCGTTAATTAAAATGCATGTTGTCATGTTGCATTATTTCACTAACGTCTAAATATGCCAGATTTCGAACTAGTTAACTGTTTTTATTATCCTGGCCCAAATTCGTGGAGCAATTCTGCAGCTTGAGAAAGGTAGAGCATTTTTGCGTAAATTAATATTCGCGGTATTTAACTGACATGTTTATACATATCTAATTTTGATGAAGTTAAGACGCTACAATTTACTTGTGTTTAGTGTCGTCTTAAAGATCTTGTTCTGAGGATTACAAATATGTTTTTATTATTGTGGCCGAAATTCCAGGAGCGAATCTACAGCTTTGGAAAGGTAGAGCATTTTTGCGTTAATTAATAGGCAAGTTGTCAGGTTGCATTATTTCACTAACGTCTAAATATGCCGGGTTTTGAACTAGTTAACACGCTGCAATATACTCGTATTTGGTATCAGATTAAAGATCTTGCTATGAGGATTACAAATATGTTTTTATTATTGTGGCCGAAATTCCAGGAGCGAATCTACAGCTTGAGAAATGTGGAGACTTTTTGCATTAATTAATATTCGCGGTACTTAACTGACATGTTTATATATATCTAATTTTGATGAAGTTAACACGCTACAATTTACTTGTGTTTAGTATTGTCTTAAAGATCTTGTTCTGAGGATTACAAATATGTCTTTATTATTGTGGCCGAAAGTCCAGGAGCGAATCTACAGCTTGAGAAATGTGGAGACTTTTTGCGTTAATTAATAGGCAAGTTGTCATGTTGCATTATTTCACTAACGTCTAAATATGCCGGGTTTTGGACTAGTTAACACGCTGCAATATACTCGTATTTGGTATCAGATTAAAGATCTTGCTATGAGGATTACAAATATGTCTTTATTATTGTGGCCAAAATTCCAGGAGCGAATCTACAGCTTGAGAAATGTAGAGCATTTTTGCGTTAATTAAAATGCATGCAGGATTTTGAACTAGTTAACACGCTGTGATATACTCGTGTTTGGTATCAGCTTAGAGATCTTGTTCCGAGTATTACAAATAGGAAGAAAAATGTTTTGTATGTTGTTTCTTTGAATGGACATATCATATAGCTTATAAACAACATGTAATTACAATAACAGCTCGTAAAAAACATTTTTTAACGTTTGAGTTGATAAATTTCCTTAAGAACTTAAAAACTTACATGCAGTTTATTAAAGAACGAGCCAAACAAAAGCTGGATGTCAGATGGCACAATGGTTTGGGCTTCTTCGTGTATACTTTTTTAGTGCTTCACGAAACAAGGTGGCAATACAACGGGGACCTGAATTTGCCCTCCATCCGGGCGAATTTAATTGATTGATAATGAATAGCTGTTTGTAATAATGATTGGACACAGGAAAGATATTTTTTCAAAAATTTTTATTTTTTTTGGAGATTTTTTTAAACTTTTTTTCTTCCTCTTTAGTAAAGACTTTCTAACCTCTTTAGTCCCTGCAAAAGATGGTAAGAACAATGTGAGATAACAAAAGAAAATCATATTTATTTTTTGCATTGTTTTGAAATAAGTTTTGTTTTTGATTGATCGAATTGAGTCAGAATCAGAATGTTTTCTTTTTATTCTGTGCGAATATAGTTTAAAAAGCTTCACTACTTAATTGATGAAGTAAATTTTTAATCTTTTTTGTTTGATATATATTTAATGAAAATTGTTCTACGTTGTAAATATATTGATTACAACTTGGCCACGCCCCTTCCACGCCCTCGACCACGCCAAATTCCGCGGCCTCGCCATTGGGGACGACCACGCCGTCCGCCGCGGCTTCTCCTGGCACCCCGCGTCCCTCGACGCGGTTTGGTTGGGCAATCTTCAGGGGCGTGCCCCACTTCATTGCATGTGTTACATTCTGAAATAATAAAGTAATAAAATCAACATATAATTTGTGCAAACAAGTGTGTCATTAGTTTAAACTCACTTATTTCCTCTTGCTTGTTTTCGACGTCTGCTAAAAAGTTGCGAACGATAAAGACGTTAGAGATTTTCCATGCCCAACAAAATACAATAAAAATGTATTAGAATTGGAAACCTGTTCTCAACCATGCATTTAGATGGTTGTTATAAAAAGCGATAGTGAATTTTACAGTGTTGCGGAACAGCTTTTTATACTATATTCATTGGCGTTCGCTTAACATGAAAAACGATCATAAAGATATTCAATTATCATACATGTATACGTACTATGTTAAGCACAAGTACAAAAAACACTCTTAGTCGATATATTGTAAAAATTATGCAACAAACCTTTTCGCTTCTTTCGATTTTCTTCTTCTGATTAAGACGATTCATAAAAAAAGAGATATTTTTTGTAGGTTTGAGTCATCTTTATGCAAATGTATTTAGCTATTAACATTTTTGAAATTTTATATCTATTCCGAAGAACTGGCTCACCTTTATCCCCCCTCTCTCGTTTGTTTTGAGTATCTGGTACAAAGAACACACATTAAACTGATTGGATAACATGCATGTTAATAAACACAATTCTTTTGCGACTATTCTTTAGCATAAGCACGTTTAAGTAAGGTTGATGGTGATGTAATAGAATTGAATCAACTATTGTTGAACATTGTACACTTTGCCATAAAGACAAGTTGAAATATTTCTTTTCACTTAATGCAGAAAACTAAGAAACTTTGCAAAAAATGTTACTTATCGTTTTACCATTTTGTGCTTCTTTTTCGGCCATTTCTAAATAGAAAATAATGTTTATCATTAGTTGTACAGCGTGAACAAACTTATCGTCTTATGCCCAGCGCCGATATCGCACAGTGGCAAATATGCCATGTGCCCCGCGATCCATGCTAAAAGGAAGTAGCAATGCGTCATGGGGTACCGCAATGAGAAAATGCCTTGGGCACCGACATGTGTAAACGCGGCGATGCTCATGCGTTTATACGAGTAAACGAACGTTCAAGCAGTGACACATTACATAAAAATGGAATCATAAATACAATAAAAATATCATTATAGTTTCGCCTCGGAGAAAGCTTAAATATTTATGCTTTAGTACCATGTGATGCAGCGTATTAATGTATAAAACTTTTGGTAGAGAATAAGGCAATCCCAAGCATAAAAACAATCAAAATATGCATATGGTTGTGTCTAAATATATATACTTATTTTACTTTGGGTAAAATTATTGAAACAATCTAGTTGCTATAAAGGATTGTTCACTTACATTTTCCGTACACACTTCTAATAATCTGTTATTACCACGGCACACTCAACAAAAGTGAATGAGAATTATGACGCGTGATATTAACACTGGCTTCTTCATTTGTATCTCTTTTGATGGTCAATCGCATTACTACTTCTTTATGATGGACCAATCGCATTCCTAATTAGTGAACTAAAGAGAAAAGGCGGCAAAGCAAAGGCCACTCCTTTGAAGATTTCAGTTGTGTTGTTTGGTAGGGAAGTTACAGAATTTTTGGTAAGAGTTTCGTCTTCTACAAAAACATTAAAATGATCTCTGAACCGATCCGAGTAGGCTGTTGCTGATATTTTTGTAGAAAAAACTAACAAAAGGTAGCATGTTTTATTTTTTTTGCTGATAAAAAGTAATTTCCAAAGTCAGCATACTTGACATCGACTGGAAAATGCAACAACTTTGTGACGTAGTTTGTTATTCAACGATGACGCACAGAATGTCGGTATGGCAGATTTCAAATCAAAAAAATTTTAATATTGTTTTTGCAGTGATTGAAGAAACAAAACACCATAAACTGATTTTATTTCTATTGTTTGTGTCGAAGAACGATTAACCCTTGGTGCACGCATTTGCATGCGTCATCGTCATTCATCGACAAACTAGCTATGAAACAAAAGACGTCAGCTGTCAAGTTTGAAGACATTGTAAATCACTAAAAAAATAATATGTTGCAAAAAAACATTCATAGGTTCGAAATTTAAATAATGTAGGAGAGTATAATAATAGCACGAAAAATCAAAACTCCAGAATAGTGTTGGTGTTTTAAAGTTATTTGTCAATAAAACATTACAATTTGAGAAACACGACGATTTTTTAAGCGCAAACATGTTTCGACATCAGAACGACATCTTTCGATGACAAACATGTTTTGACATCAGAATGACATCTTTATTGTAAAATGGTCTGGGTTAACACGTGATTTTAATATATTCCTTCATGGTTGGTGAGTGCGTACGATTTTTATGCACGAGTAGAAGAGGGATTGAAGACAAACGAGTGAGCGTAGCGAACGAGCGCACAATAAAAATCGTACAAATGAAGCGTGCAAGTATCCATTTTGATCTCGTACATACAACATACAATTTCGCAACTGATACTAATATATTCTAGGATGTCCTTACTTTCTGACTTTTGTTGCCCTTCAACGCCTTTTAACACAAGTTGATAAAGCTATCTTACCAGAAAGATAGCTTTATTAGACATAGACAGAAAGAGACAGAGCTCTAATTTGCTTTCAAAAGTAACTGACCTCACTCCTATCGTAGAAATGACTCATCATAGTGAAGTACTAATACAAAATAGCGTAACTATACGATGCTTCGACTTTGAATCTAATCTATTTCATTCTTTTCTATTCTTTAAAGAATGTGACTGTTTCGCCCAATATCAGGGCTCATCAGCATGCCTAGGAACCACACCGCGATAGGGTGGTGCAATTCCGACATGGACAGCCGCATTTTCTCGTGATATATTACGAGACGTCTCTCAGCGCATTAGAGCAGCCAGTTGCGTTGTCTGACATTTCTGCAGCAACGGCGCATTAGAGCAGCCACTTGCGTTGTCTGACATTTCTGCAGCAACGGCGTATTAGAGCAGCCAGTTGCGTTGTCTGACATTTCTGCAGCAACGGCGCATTAGAGCAGCCAGTTGCGTTGTCTGACATTTCTGCAGCAACGGCGCATTAGAGCAGCCAGTTGCGTTGTCTGACATTAGAGAGCTTAAGCAACTACGTTTTACTGGACGGCAACGGCAAGAGGAAGTTGTTTTTATTTCCGTTCAGCGTTGTATGTATTTTGTTTACGCCGTCGGGCCTACGCGCCGACGTGAAAATACTTGTTTCAAGGTTGCCTCTAAAACCTCTCTAAAATTAATATGGCTGACAATTCAAAGAAAATGGAGTGGACAGATGAGCACGATTTATTGTTGATGAGAGAAATGATGGTTAGTGATCTGTTTCAATACAAAAAGGGAAGCCCCAATCGGGGATTAGTATGGGATTCAATCGTCGAAAACTTAAATAAAACGGAAGCGCCAGTCTTTACTTTAAAAGACAAGAGAAGTGTTCGAGACCGTGGAGTCTTTTAAAAGCTAAGTTCAAGCAGAAGATGCGCAAGAAGAAAGGGCAAGTGGCATTGATGTCGACGAACTGTCGGAGAAAGAAAGTTTGATTGAAGAGTTGTGCCAAAAAGAGGACAGCTTCCTTGAGGTAGCATCAGTTCAAAAGCAAAAGGAAAATGCAAATGCTATTGATATAAGGATGACAGCCTTGGAACGAATGGGCGAAACATGCAAGAGAAAATCTGATGGCAAAACTCAGATGTTAAGCTTAAGAAAGTACGCCGGAAGTTGTGAATTAGTCGAATATTTGAGAGAAAGATCAAGCAAGGAAATTGAAATCCGTCGTGCAGAACTAGAAGTAAAGCGAAATGAGCAAGAAATACAAAATCAATTGAGTATCCAAGCAGCTACACAACAAACAGAAGTCTTAAAATGATGCAACAACAAAATCTAAAATGATGGAGAGCCAAGCTTTACTTCTTCAGCAACAACAGCAATTGTCAACAGCATTTCTTGACATTATTTAGAGGTTCACAACCAAGTAAGATTGTGTTGTCACTTACAAGGAAAGAATTCTTAACTGTTGTGTTTTAGCAATCTGTGTAACTATGAACTTTTAATGTTTTGTTATTTGAATTATAATAACTTTCTCACTTACACTTGTCAGTATTTACATAACAAGTTACATACTTGCTTATTGTTTGTGTGTTTAATGAGTCATTTTGGCATTCATTAATTACTTATAAAGTAATTCTCCAAGGTTGGAGGATCTAACTGAAAAAACTTGGATGTTATATTTCCATACATGCAAGTGAGTGAATTTCTTAACAATGCACAGACAATATA